CATCATGAGATTGTCTCATTTTGTTTTTTTTTAAACATTGTAATTTTAGGTATCAATTTTTTTATGTTATAATGTTTGTTTTTTATTTAGCTTCTAAAAATAAAAATATTATTAAAAAAATATGTAAAAAGCTCAATTATATAATATAAAAAAAGTAAAAATAATACTGTAAAAGAAACATTGTATAATATAATGGCTTTATGACTTATTTTATTGAGGAAGAAAATTTTGTTGAGATGATATTACAACTCAAGAATTGAAAATCACTATAAATATTAATTATTACTAATAAGTGAATTAAATAATCTAATCATTATTATTAATAAATATTTTTTTAAAAAAACGTAGATGGAACATGATAGGATAACCTCATCTCACATCTCGTCCTGTTCTGGTTACTATTTCATCCTGTCCTATCATGAATTGATTGAGATAGGGATGGGACAAGTTGAACATCCATATGTCTGACAAGCTGAATTTAGTTATTCACAACAACAAAATGTAACAAAGTTGCATTTGTTAATAAACATATGTTGTCATTCAATTACAAGATAGATTTATAAATTAAAAAGTCCAACTTTGTAACTTACAAGTCCAATTTAATAATCTGTTTTTGGTCAAACCAATTTAATAATTTAAAAGTCTAATATTTACATATCTAAAATTAAAGTTGAGTTCATGGACCAATTAGAAATTTGTTGAATTTGTCAAGGTGAAATGGAATTTTCCTAAATGACTTTAAATACGATTTTAATTTCTGTATAATTAATTTATTCATTCGGGATCGGTTTTTAATTTTCTTTAAATAAGAAAAATCTGAAAACGTTGTCTTACTCTTTATGCGGTGGATGCTAATAAATCAACCTAACATTACCAACTTTTAAGAAGATTGATAATTAGGTCTTAAAAAAATCAATTTAACGACAGATATAATTCAATTTATTTCTTAAAAAAATGAGTTGTAAATACCAATTTAGATAGTTGCAAACAAGAATCTTAGCTGTAAACTATAAGACTTGTTATTTGAATTTGTTGTGTATGTCAAGTTTGTGGGTAATATGGATATATTCCTAGCTATTGTCGAATCACGTTTGTTTATGAATTTGAGGTTCTGTGCGGCTTTCTTATTTTGTTTTGAGGCATGAATAGTTGTTTCACTAATTTTCTTGTATCTTTTTCTCGCCGGTCATCATTATTATCACCGACAAGTTTCTTCCCCCTCATAGCCACAAATTCATTAGGCGAGCGTTAGTCACCACTACCTCCGGTCCTAATTATAATTGAAGTGTGGGGATATGATTTATCGAACGAGTAAAAAAAAAAAAAAGCAATATATTCTTATTGTTATGCTATTTGTCACTTTCTTTCCGATGTCATACTTCTAATCCTATTATTTAAATATGATATTGACAAAAAATACAAAATATATAAAAATGGATTAAAAAAAAGTAATTTTATCTCCTATTTTATTTCTCATATACAATTCTATCCTTGACTTCTTTAATGGTACAATTTTACTCATATTTTTTATTTAATTTTATTCATACTTTATTTTGATTTTATTTTAACTCAAGAAATAAAATTACACTTTTAAAAATATCAAATATCAAAATATTTTTTGGTTATATTTATAAGTCATTTCAAACATAAATTAAAAAAAACTTTAAATTTTATTAAATTTTTTAAAAAACTTAACAACATTTCAATTTTATCTATATTTGATATAAATTATATCTTATGTAAATAAAATTAACACAATAATAAATAAAAAATAAAATTATATATTTATATAAAAAAAATTTTTGACTGAAAAAATGCAGACGGAAGAGTAAGTAATGAGTTAAAACTGCTTGTGGCGGAAGAATCCGGATGCGACGCTTCACCACGTGTCATGAGAAGAGTGGCTGGTAAACAAAATAAAAGGTCAGAATCAGACAGCTTTATTGAGTGCACTGGGAAAATCAAGTCGCTGTCGGTATATGTAAAAAGGTCTATATTAACCAATAAAAGGTTGCAAAAATGTCTCCACATGTTTATTTTTTATACTATAAAATCATTTCTAAAATCATAATTTACAGATTACATGATGTTGTCTTGCAAATTTTGATTTTACTTACAAACTTAAATTGTTGGTACGTGTTCTTTTAATTTTTTTCTAAAAAACATAATAATGTAGAGAAAATTGGCGCCAACAAAAGAGAGGGTGGGATCAAGAATTATTGGGTTGAACAATAATGAACACAAAATTCTCTCTAATTATTGCTGTTCTCAAATTAAAATATGTGATCCTACTTAAATTTATACAGACTTGATAAAGAGTCAAAAGAAATTAGATAAATCAATATTTAAATTAGTTTAAACTGTTTCATCCTTTTATTCGCACCGATCATGTCCTTCAATATTTACTCTCACTCTTCTCTATATGTATTTCGCTGCTTTAAGTTATTGATCTTGCTAATTCTTCTGCTTTCCTCTATGTGCGTGTATATATATTCATGCTTTCTTTCTTCTTAGGTATACTGTATACATATATAATGACTGTGTGTGTGGATGAGAAATTAAACTTATGGCCAAGGTTATTTGAATCCTTAGCCTTGGCATGTTTTGTTTTGTTTTTGTTTTATGTTCTTTTAGATGAAATGATGAATAGTATCATATATAAATGAGGTTTTATGTTTAGGACATAAAATACTGTATGTGTGTGTATAAAACAAGAGAAGCACATATAGAGGTAAACATAAACCGTTGTGTTTGATAAAGTTATAAACGTGGAAGTCAAATCGCTTTGGGGGTCCATGAAAAAGAGCTAATCAACCAATAAAACTGTAAAAGGCTGCAAAAATCAAATAATAAAATATGTATAGATCAATCAGTTTGTTGATCATACAAAATCCAAAAACATATATGGTGTGTTTGGTTCTATTTGAAATAAAGACAATCGAACACAACAAGGGAGGTGGGGTATGGCCAAGCATTGTTGGGTAGAATGATAATGGACAGTCTCTAATTCCAATTCTGTGGTCTCAGATTAAAATAATATATCACCCTACTTAAATTTATATTAATAGATATTCATCTGGTTTTTAATATAAAATCTATTTAACTAATTTGATTAGATTAAGTTAGGTAAATTAGTTAACTATAAAGAATATGACTTTTTTTTAAATATTATAATCATCTTCCTTAATATCCTCCCTCCCTCTCCTACATGATTATGATTGAGAGAGTATCAATAGAGATAATTTAAAAAAAATAATAAATATAAAAAAGGTCTTATATTTAGGATCAAGATTAACTAAACAATTAGATCATATATTAGGAGTAAAGGAGTAGTATAAATACTGACCAAGTTTTTTAAAATGGTCAAAGAGTCAACAAAAGTTAGAGAACTCAACATTTCAACTAGTTTAAATTGTTTTTCTATGTATACTTAGATAACAATGTCATGTTAGTTATAGCAATTCTTTGAAATCACTCTTATTACTACTATAGTGTGTTGAATTAGCCGTTCAGAATCTCTTCTCTTCCATTTTCATCCTCTTTCCTCCTCTCTTTTTTTTTCCCCCTCTAACCATTAGATTAACATATTTCAATAGTTTAGATTTTAATTTTTATAAACTATTCACAAATTTTTTAAAAATATTTAATGCATTTGCAAATAATTAGAATTAAATTTTAATAGAGTTTGTAATTTATTATTTATTTATTTTTTAATTTAATATTTTAATGATAGTTTAAAAAGATTTAAATCTCAACCTTTAAAATATTAATCCAATAATTGGAAAAAAAAGAGAGGAAAAAGGATGGGAAAAGAAGAGAAGAGGTTCCGAACCAATTGAACTAGTCTGGTAATTTGGTAGGCTCAATTAATGCGTCGTGTGCTTGCTTGCCAAGCTTGGTCAATAGTGCTTTTATTATAGTTGTAATTTCTTTGTTGTTTTATCAATGGATTGGAATGGGAGTAATAGCGGGTTTATCTTCACAATTTAGAAAAGTTAAGGGAAATTATCTACATATAAACTAACATTTAAATGGGTTACCTACACAAATAAATAAAATTCAAAGGAGATATGCATGACCAATAGTATGTTATATATTGTATGGTGAAATAATAAACTGATTAAGAAATAGGGGATATTTGGAAAAATTTTGAATTTAAGGGGTTTTTTAGTCAAATATTAGGGATAAAAGAGTTATTTAAAAACAGCTTAAATTTTAGAAAAGTCTCTTATAATTTAGTTCTTGGAGTTTTTCGTCCAGACTTCCAAACCTAATAACACTAAGCACCTCTTAAGTACTTATCTGGTCATTAATATAGAACCTAATTATTGAATTGATTTTAGTCATAAATATAAGATCTATTTATCATATTTATCAATTTTTTCTAAATTATCTCTATTGATACTCCCTAAACCATGATTAAATAGAAGAGGGAAAGAGGATATTAAAGAAGATGATTATAGTATTTTAGGAAAAACATGTCATTTTTAATAATTAATTACCTTATCTAACTTTATTAATTTAATTAAATTAATTAAATAGGTCTTATATTAAAGACTATAGGAGTATTTCTTAGGTGCGGTGTTGCGAGTTCAGCCCTTTATGTGTGTATGATAGGTATATATGTGATTTTCCTTCTATTAGATGAATAATGACAAAAAAGTTATTAAAATTTTTAACTAGTTAATAATTTTACAGCCTAGCAGTATGAAAATTTTCCTGTAGGTAGAAAACCGCATATTCTACCCTGTTTATAATTTTACGTCACGCTAATTTAAGTAAGAAAGGAAAAGGTTTTCTATATAAGACCCACACAAGCAAGCTTTGTTCTGCCATGAAAACCCGTAGTTGAAGCAGAAGAGGGATACAGAATGTCTTCTATTGCTGCTTCAACATTAGTTTTTGTTCCTCCTGCTTCAACAAAACACGCCAATGAGTCCCACATCAGAAGACATTCTGCAGAATTTCATCCTTCTATTTGGACCGACCATCCCCTTCAATATGCCTGTCACTCTCACTCTTCCGTATATATAATTTACTGCTTTAATTTTTTCTTGCTAATTCTTCTACTTTCCTCTTTATATCCATGCCTCCTTTCTTTCTTTCTTTCTGATCAGTACATATATAATGATGGTGCATGTGCGGGAAATTAATCTTACGGCCCAGATATTTGAATTCTTCAAATCATATTACAGTATATCTTCTCTCAACATTTTATGATCAATTAATACTGAAGCTTTGAGCTTCTCTCTTGCTAGCTCACTTAATTACATCACTTACTTTTATGTTTTAACATCTTTTTTTATTCTTTTGCTGTTTGGGCTTAGAAGTAAATATTAATTTTTAAGATCCTCTAATGATGTTATTAAGTGCTCTTATGATTACTCTTTCCATTTTTTTTACGTCTTGGCGCATGTTGATGGATTTTTTCTTCTGACACTACCGGCATACAGGAAGTTAATCATAGTGAAACAGTGCAACACGTCGAAACTCTGAAATAGGAAGTGAGGAAGATGCTTGTTCCTACCCATGAGAAGCCCTCAATCTCAAAAGTTGAATTGATTGATTCAATTCAACGCCTGGGTCTGAGATATCATTTTGAAAGTGAAATTGCAGAAATGTTGCAACAAACTCACAAGCACTACGTTCAAAATGGCCAATTAATTCATGACTCAGATCTATGCTCTCTTGCTTTGCTTTTCAGATTATTGAGGCAAGATGGATATCTCATTTCACCTGGTGTGTGTGTGTGTGTGTCATGACTGAGTAGAAAAGTTACATCAAATGACTTAAATCATGAAATGTTTTAAAATCGTAACCATTTATTGTGAATATTTATGCGCAAACCAGATGTATTTAGTAAGTTCAAAGATGGAGAAGGAAAGTTTAGTGAAAGAGTTAGCAACGATATGGAAGGAATGCTGAATTTATACGAAGCTGCTCATCTGAGTATTCATGGAGAAGAAATCTTAGATGAAGCAATGGCTTTCACTTCCACTCAACTTCAGGCCATCATTAGGACTATTGAATCAAACACATTTCTTGGTGATAGGATTGGTATCGGCGTACCAGTATCTTCCAACCAATGGAATGGTTTTATATAATTGAAAAAAGGGGGTTTTTGCTGACAGATAGATGGCGCTAGCTTCCTAAACAGGATTTCTGTTCTATGAGGTATAGGCCCGGCTGTCCATCTGTGGAACATGGGGTTGAAGACCTCTAGAGTACCTACTAGAAGAAAGACAGAACCACTTGGCTAGGGGGACCAAACCTCTAGGAGGAAGAAGCAGATGGAAGACAGGGTCACTTGTGAAAGAACTAGCCGAAGGGGACCATCACAGTTGGGGCGGTGGATGACAGGCTAGCTCACCAAGAACATCAGGAGAGGTTGGGGAAGACTTGGCTGCGGCAAGTCAAGGAGAGGTTAGGTCAAGGGATTTCAGACAGAAGTCCCATCAATCAAAAGAAAAGGATGTTCCAGGAAAGAAGGGAACAAGGATATCCAAAAGAATAGGCCTTGAAGGAAGGCATGAATGAGGGGAGACCGGTCTAAGGGCTGCAAGATATACTACAAGGTTGAATCAGTCCACTAAGGGATTGATGGTTTTTATGGGGGAATGAACACTGGAAAAAAAACACACAGCGAGATGCAAGGCCAACGAGAGAGAGAAACTGTAGAGAAGCAAAACTAATAATTTCCTCAAATTTCTGATGCGTACAATACTGAATTTATAACATATTCAGTTACAGCAAATTGAAATAAATGATAATTAAAAAAACAAAGGAAAATAACCACTAACATCATGGATTCCTATTTTATCGGTGCCCACTTCTTGCTCCTCAAGCTTCGGCGGATATCTCTGTGACTAACTTTTGAATCAGTCTTCCAATACTCCCCCTTGATTCAAAGTCGCACACACCAAGCAGATTTCTGAGATACATGTGTCTTTTACCAGATAGTGCCTTAGTGAAAATATCTGACACTTGACTTTCAGTGTTGCAAAACTTCAGGACAATTTCTCCCTTGGCCACTAATTCCCTAATAAAATGATGCCTCAGCTCTATATGTTTTGTTCTTCCATGAAATGCTGGGTTTTTTGCCATGATAATAGTTGATTTATTATCACAGTAGAGCTTAGTTCCTTCAAGTTGCTTCTGTTGTGCATCTTCTAGTACTCTTCTAAGCCAAATACATTGACAAGCTGCTGCAGTAGCTGCAATGTACTCAGCCTCTACCGTTGACAGTGCAACAGTGGCTTGTTTCTTGGACATCCATGTGATTGCTCCTGTCCCCAAGCCAAATACATTACCAGAAGTACTTTTTCGGTCATCTAGAGAGCTTGCCCAGTCACTATCAGTGAACCCAACCAGTTTGAATTGATCTGAATGAGTGTACCAAATTCCATAATTCAATGTACCAGCAATGTACCTTAGAATTCTCTTAGCTGCACCATAATGCTTCATTGAAGGATTACTCATATACCTTGACACTGCACCTAACGAAAATGAGATATCTGGCCTTGTGTGTGTCAGGTATATCAAACCCCCAACCAGACTTCTATACTGGTTTGGATTTGCTTTTGGAGCTCCATCATCTTCTTGTAACTTCTGCTTAACATTCATGGGAGTAACCTTTTTCTTGCAATCTGACATGCTAAACCGTTTCAACAAATCAGCAGCATATTTCTTTTGGCACACAAAAATTCCAGCTTCATCTTGCTTAATTTCTAACCCCAAATAGTAATGCAGCAAGCCTAGATCAGTCATCTCAAACTTGCTCATCATATTGGCTTTAAATTCTTCTAACAGTGAAGTACTTGAGCTCATATATATATATTATATCATCAACATACAAACAGACTATAATGAAATCTGATGTACCTTGCCTTTTTACATACAGCGTAGGCTCATTTTCACTTCTGAAAAATTTGTTCTGCTGGAAATAAGCATCAACTTTGCTGTACCATGCTCGGGGGGCTTGTTTTAAGCCATAGAGAGCCTTCTTCAGCTTGTAGACTTTCTCTTCTTCTCCCTGAATCACAAAACCTTCTGGTTGCTCTACATAGACATCTTCTTCTAGTTCTCCATTCAGAAACGCTGACTCATCAAGTTGATATACTTTCCATTTGAGCTGAGCTGCCACTGCTAGAAGTAATCTAACAGTTTCGAATCGTGCCACTGGTGAAAATGTCTCCTCATAGTCTATCCCTTGTTGTTGAGAGTAACCTTTTGCCACTAGCCGTGCTTTATGCTTCTGAATACTTCCATCAGCATTAAGCTTTGTCTTGAAGATCCATTTTAAGCCTACAACATTTTTCCCTTCTGGCAAATCAATCAACTCCCATGTTGCATTCTTTTCTATGGCATTGAGCTCTTCTCTCATAGCTTTCTGCCATAATTCTCTTTCAGCAGCTTCATCATATGTTGTAGGGTCCGGTGCCATTAATGCAAACTGATCATTTTCATATATCTCCCTCAATGATCTGAATTTTCTGGGTGGCGTCTCATCAGAAGACTCACTGGCAGAACTTGAGCTCCTTCTTGATGGTGTTGTTGCTGGACTACTGACTGGAGTAGGTGCATTGACTGAAGTAGAAATTGTTTCCTCAATTAATGGTATTTGCATTTGATTTTTGCTGCTATCTGAGCTGTTCTCACTCCAATTCCAGCCTGCATCTTCATTAAACAACACATTTCTACTAATAACAATCTTCTCATCTATAGGGTCATACAACTTATATGCCTTAGACTCAGTACAGTAGCCAATAAAAATACATTTTCGTGATTTCCCATCAAGTTTATGACGACTTTGGGAATTTATAAAGACATATGCAATACACCCAAATATTCTTAAATGGCTTACAGTAGGTTTTCTCCCTCTCCATGCTTCATAGGGAGTGCTATCTTGTACTGCTTTTGTTGGGGAGAGATTCAGCAAGTACACGGCTGTTGCTACAGCTTCTGCCCAAAAGGTGTTTGGCAACCCTTTCTCTTTTAGCAAGCACCTTGCCATTTCCACCATTGTTCTATTTTTACGTTCTGCTACACCGTTTTGTTCTGGTGTGTAAGGTGATGTGAGCTCATGCTTTATGCCATTTTCTTCACAAAATCGGTTGAAATCTGATGAGGTAAACTCTCCTCCTCTATCTGTACGAAGTACTTTAATATTTGCATCACTCTGCTTTTCAACCATTGCCTTAAATTTCCTAAACATCCCAAATGTTTCTGATTTGGATTTTAGGAAATATACCCAATTCATCGTGCTGAAATCATCAATAAAGAGCAAAAAATAATAACTCCCACCTAAGGATTTAGTATCCATAGGGCCACACAGATCTGAATGAACAAGCTCCAAACATTTTGTTGCTCTCCATGCCTTTGCTACAGGAAATGACTTCCTTGATTGCTTACCATAAGCACAATTCTCACATATATTAATTTCAGAAATTTTTGGCAAGCCATAAACCATACCTCTTTTCTCGAGAAGTTGCAGCCCATTGATGTTTAGGTGGCCATAGCGTGAATGCCACACCTCAGAAATGTGTTTCTCACCAGCCACTAGAGCATAACCTTGCATAGCTTTAACATCAAATGGGAACATTCGGTTTTTGGTCATTGGTATCCTTGCAATTACTCGATTAGTTGCCTTATGTGTTATAACACATTCTCTATTGTCAAATAAAACTGAATATCCACTCTCCATTATCTGCCCTACGCTCAGCAGATTGTGTGCTAAATTATTAACAAGCTGAACATTCTCCAAGAATTTAGTTTTACCTGGAGTAGTGTTGAGTGCTACTGTTCCTTTTCCTTCAACTCTCATCTCCTTGTCATCACCCAGCTTCACTGTCTTCTTTTGGGTTTCATCTAGATCAGTGAAGAAGGACTTCTTCCCTGTCATGTGATTTGAGCAGCCACTGTCCACAAACCAAACTTCACCTTCTGCATTTGGTTGATCAGCATATGCCATGAACAGCTTGTCTTCACTATCAGTTGCTTCTGTAAAATTTGCCTGTTTGTCTTTGAACCAGCACTCAGCTTTCATGTGCCCATATTTCTTGCAATTATGGCACTAAATATTCCTTTTATCTTTGTAATCAGATCTGCCTCCACCTCTGCCACGGTTGGAATTCTTCCCTCTAAATCCTCCTCTACCTCTTCCTCTACCAGCACGATTTTCAGTTTCTCCCTTTGCTTGAAAAGCTTTCTCTTCTGTCATCTCTCCTTTTCTGTTAATTCTTGCTTCATGAGACTGCAAAGAACCCATCAGCTCATCAAATGTATAAGCTGATAAATCCTTTGATTCTTCAATGGCTGCAACTACATGATCAAATTTAGGAGGTAAACTTCTCAATACATGTGTTACCACTGTTTTTTCTGACACTTCTTCTCCAAATGATCGCATCTGGTTCACAACTGCTGTTGTCTTTGTCATAAAGTCCTGCACAGCTTCTTCACTCTTCATGCGCAGGTTCTGAAATTCACGATGGAGAGTTTGCAATTTTACTCTTACCACCGTAGAAGAGCCATGGAATGCAACCCGCAAGGTTGACCATGCTTCCTTTGCTGTTTTAGCAGCTGCGATCTTGGAGAAGATAGAATCATCCACTGCTTGCTGAATAAAAAACAGTGCCTTTGAGTCCTTCTTCTTGTTTTCTCTGACTCTGGCCTCCTCCTCATTCTCATCATATCCATTTTCCACCAAATCCCACAGCTCTTGGGATTTAAATAGAGTTCTCATTTTAATGCTCCAGAACTCATAATTTTCTCCTTTGAAAATGGGCATGGAAGGTTGAGAAATACTCACTGCACCATTGTTACTGACTGCCATCACGCCCTACTTTGATCGACTCAGCTCTGATACCAAACTGATGGTTTTTATGGGGGAATGAACACTGGAAAAAAAACACACAGCGAGATGCAAGGCCAACGAGAGAGAGAAACTGTAGAGAAGCAAAACTGATAATTTCCTCAAATTTCTGATGCGTACAATACTGAATTTATAACATATTCAGTTACAGCAAATTG